GGTTGTCAGGTAGCTTTAAATAGTATTTGACTTGTAGTAATACGCTCCTTGTAGAGACAATTTACAATGCTTATCAAACGGTACGAATATTATATTGTTACACAGATATCAGGGTTTCAAAAGTTGTGAAAGCAAACGCTGAAGTAGTTTTAAGAAAGTAAAGTAGAAATTAATTTGTGATCCATGATTATCAAAAATAACTGTACTTCAGTCTAATGCCTGTAAGTCATTTTTACATTAATCTGACAAAAGGAAAAATTATCTCTTAATTAAAGCAAATCAAAATGAATATTATTCAAAGTCATTATTTAAATAAATTGCATGGTGATAGTCGTGTAATATATTGGACATGTCAGACAAATGACGAAATGTTACAGTTATACTCTTTCTAACTTTACATTGGAAGTAATATATCCCTTCGCTGCTTCTTGTTTCATTGGAAGCCATATATTTGTGAGTATCATACTGTTTTATGTAACCTATTGTTTCAGTAATCAAACTTTCGGAGTACAAAATTTGTGCTCGAAACACCAAACCCAGTATGTTTGATTAATTGATTAAGAGTTTTATAATCGTACTCGAAAGTTTTATGACTGCAAGCCCTTATTTTGATGCCGTTAAATTACTCTTATTTAAGTTTATACAACCTGATAAATGTGGTCTACCACATTAAATATCAGCCGTTCTTTTATGATCTATTCATCATTTTATAATTTATATCTACAGTAAAATAGTAAAAATATGAGCTTTTTTAAGTTTGAAGCATTATTTTTTCACGATTTTTAAAGGAAAAATGCACCAAGTCCCTTCATTGAATATTACTTCGATACACTGTCTATCTTCTGAAATATCTTATGAGCAGAAATTTATAAATTCACTCTGAAAAAATTGTTTGTTCACACTTTAAAAAATGCATAGAACAGCATTGATATAAAACGGCATCCCGTAAAGGAGACCATTTCGAAAATATTTAAATAAATATTGAAAGCACTTGTTTAAATTTAAAAGCTACGGCCGGTTTAAGTCGAGTTGACTTTTGCATCCTGGCGAGCACACTCACACAATCATTGTTTGTGCCTTCACACATTGTATTGGAATTTTGCAAGATTATCAAGAACACGTTAACAGTTTAACATATAAATAAGTCTAAGCTAAATATTGCTACAATGCGTTATAGAAAATTGTTGCAAAAATATGACGGAATGTTTCTGCAGTTCAGCAATTTTAAGTCATTCGTGCAAAAAAATCCTATTTTCGACCTTATAGTCTTGCTTTATGATGTAATCACATTTGTTTTAACAGCAAATGTTTTCATAAAGAATTGCATGGAGTTTAGTTATACTATTAGATTTAGGGCGAACTTCATGGTCTTACTGAATACATTTCTCTTGTTGTAACCAATAATCATTGAATTACTTTTTGGTAACTTGCCCTGGGGGTTGTTTTCTAAAATAAGACGGTTTAATGTTTTCCTTACTATATTGTCCATTGGTAAATTTTAAAGATGGCATGTCACGTATAGTTGACTAGTTTAAACTACATTTGGGCACTTTTTAGAAGTATTACAGATTTTCAGTAGTTTTCTTTTTTTCTTAAAGCATTGTCGTTAACTACTGATCAAGTTTCAAGATTAATTGATGGACAGACTATCTCGTTTCTTTATCTGTTCCAATACATCACTTGGCCACGTAAAATTGTATAAGGACCGCTAGACTGTCAGACAATCGCTTCTGCAGTTTAACTGCTCAAATTTGTTTCAATCTTATCTATATGTGTATGCTACATTCAGTCCAATCACCATTACTATAATACATCTTGGATCTCAACTTTCCACAAGTCTTAACAATAACTGTTATAATCACTTCATTGAAATTTGTGATCAAGTTTTGTGATATATCATGGTCCTATTTTTTGGTAATTATATTCAAAATACAAACCAATACCAAATATTTCATCACACCTGTACAACGTATACACTACCTTCGTCTTAGTTTTTACAATTTATCATGATCTGTTTTTCAATTGTTGTAAATACTCTAGATGTAATTGTGCGGAAATAATATATTAATGGGGTTATCGTAACCGCTATTACGATACAATCTGTCAAATAAGGTCAATTTAACAAAACAGGAATCTCTAAACCGTTAAAGTGCATGATATGTTGATAAAATTATGGTATGAGTATGTGTGAGAAGTTAGTAGATAACAAACAATTAACTTCAAAAAGACAAGGCATTCGTCAAAATACAGGAACACAAGTGGAGTAATGGAAAGGTGACTACGTCTCAATAGTGAAGGCATGGCACTGTTCACTGTTTAATTCCATCGTATGCATACCTGGTTTCTCAGACACTGCATTCATAATGTTAATCATTCACACCAAGTCCCCCCCCCCACAAACCCACGCTTCCCCCTCCACATTTTCACCCTCACTCTTTCCCACTCCAAAGAGAGAAACAGGGTGATAAATGTGTCTTTGCAGAAATGGACTTATATATACATATACATATATACACACAACATAGCTAAATTGAATTGAAGAAATCATCGATTGTTTCCAAATCAAATTCAATACGTGCTCAGTAAAAACCTACATGTTTCTTGAAAATCACGTCCCATCGGGTCCACTATACTATACGGAGAAATAATTATATCTGTCATTTAATCTTCAAATTGCAATGAAGTGTGGGTTTGTATGTTTTGTTTTTTGTTTTTGGGGAGGAGAGGGCTTTCTGTTAACGGCCCACTTTTTTTAGTTGAAAATGTTCAATAAAAGCGCTAATCTTTTTCTTTGGGTTTTGCCAAGCATGTAGAGATTTTTCGTCTTGAATCTAAACACCAGACCCCTTCTTTTGCAGTCAATAAAATTGGTCAAAAAATGATTTGATCAAAATGTGACAAAAATAAAGAGCAGTACTAATTTAAAATTCATAGATAAAAGTACACGATATTCGGTAGAAGTATGTCGGTTGTATCACGAGGGACAGTCTACGGATTGTGTCTCTTATATTTAATATGATTTTATTACAGTAAACAAACTAGCTACTGTTCCATTTGAAATAGTTTTGCTCTTATGTTAATATCACAGAACATGTACTGTTTTGTAAAGAGATGGTTGAATATTTTGTATTTGTTTTCAGTCAATATAAATTCTGGCTGATATCTTAATGTTAAGACGTAAATTGATATCTGTGTAGTCTTTTATTTAAATGTGTATTTAGCTAGACAGTTTAAATGATAAAAAGTTTTCTTTATATTAAATTCATAAATTTAATATTTTGTAGACTTGTCGACCTTTTAATGCCGAGAGATTCCGAACATTGATAATTCTTTTGATATTAAAACATATATCCAAACATTCTTTTTCCTACTTTCAGACGATATAAATCATTGGGCGATCATATGTTACTATTGCAATCTCTTATAACGAGTGCCGTGCGCACGAAAATCATGATGAATGCATATTATGCAAATTAAATGCTGGTTCTCGGTGGCCTACTGGTCTAAGTAATTCATCTGCAGTGATCACTATAGCCTGTCAACACTGAAGTTGTGGGTTCAAACCCTACTTGTGGCAGGTGCGTTCGTCTCTGACCTTAATTGACTATATATGGTTGCCAGTTTCCCTGTAAATGGTCGGTGTTTGTGTCCGGTACTCCAGCTTCCTTCATTAATACTAATTGACTGTCATGAAATAGCCAAGGGTAGCTGATGTTGGGCGTTTAACAACAGTAATTTATCATCGAAATTAAAAACTTCAGTCCATTTTCTTACTGAAGCATATAATATCGTAAAAGATGTTAAATGGATTAAATAAACGATTGGCGCAGCATCATAATAGTCTTGTTCTTACCTTGTCGACCCAACTGGTCTCGCCACTTTTGAAATACATGCAATTCCCTCAGATTTTGTGTTTTACCTTGATTTGTATCTTCGAAATGGATTCATGAGATTTGAACATCGTGTAGACTAAAAAGCAAAAAGTAGAAACACAAGAAAATATTCTATGGACTTGTTACGATCGCAAACTCTAATCAAAAATCGAAAAATGACTTGCGTTATCATGGCTTCGCAATGGAAAGTATAATAATATGATTCTGCGGGTTTTTATTTTAACCTCAGATTTTAACAAACTATAAAACGTCGCTGAAATTGTATTTAGATATACATATATATGTGTTCCTTTATTCCACATTAATCCATTGATAGAAGATATATATGTTTGAATAATTAAGATTTCGTTTAAATTTGAAATAAAATATCAGTAGTTGCGTAATAATGACCAGTGAGACAATTGTCCGGTATAATGACCAGTATGACAATTGTCCAACTAAAAGCGCAGAGGAAATATCTACGTCATAAACGGAGGAAATGTCAATAAGGTATATCAAGCTCTACAATACTTTACATTATTCTATTAACATGAATATATTTTTAATCAGTTGACTATTCTAGATTACGTGCATTTTGTCTCCAGACCAGTGTAACCGTACAAATAGTTGCATGATGATACCCACAACTTAAAAGTAAATAGTTTAATCGCTGCAACATGCAGAATTCAGTTACATAATGGAAAAGGGCTCTATCATGTTCAAGATTTAATAATTTAATAGTATAATTTGAACTTTTAATTCTATTTTATTTTTCGATGTTCAAATGTAAAAGGTTTCTTCACACGGTAATGTTTCCCCTGTCGCCTTCGGAGAGACTATACAACATCTGTTTCCAAACACCCAGGTCTCTCTCGTGATGTGACCACATAAGACCAATATCCACTAACTTACTCATCTAACTACCGAAAAAATCAAATAAAAATCATTTTGGTATATCGCATTATTACATAACATTGTTACTGTTGTAAGTCTTTTTGTAATCGTGAATATTCTATAAAATATGACACCAACCAATTGTTCCCGTCGTGTAATTAGTATGAATTAAAGGTATGAAGAAGCATATTTTTACCTGTTAAACCATCGCCTTTGATAGTACAAGTACATCGTATGTATCAAACCGTGTATGTAGTATATATAGATCATTTAACAGAGTATAGTGTTCACTAAATTACTGTAATTTTGCAATTGGAGATAGTCTAAGAGATTACATTTAGGTAAAATGTTTAACAATCAGTGTGTGGTCCTAAAAAAATCTTATTTTCTTTCAATAAAGAAAACGGAGCAATTCTGATGATCAAAATGGACATTCGCCAAAGTGAGCTGTCAGTCATAATTGATCCCACCTATTTGCTATGAGTAATATTTGTCGATCGACAACAGTATCTTAGCCGCTGTATAACATAATACAAGAGAGATATATAATTATTTGACCCATAACGAGCAAGGATGCTTCGCGAGGTTGTTAGCGAAAGCATTATCTCTATGTATTTGAACACGTGTTTCCATTCTCTCTGAGATTGGGATATTTGGAAGATTATTCTGTGCGACATTATGATTTCTAGGAATAATGTTTTACTTTTATTTGCACGGTTTCCATGTGATTATGTACCACAAAGAACAATCAATTCTAATGAACTACAAGCATCATCAGCGACCCTATACATGTTCTGTATTTCCTGACTTACTAACAGGCTTTGTTCTTCTTACAGGAACAGGGCAATATCTGGATAAATAATTCCGTTAGCTACACGTGTATCTAAACCTACGTAGTTAACCACGCTACTGATTGGAGACGTTGACACCTGCTGGGGATACGGAAGCGACGTAAGTTATCCAATGCAAATTACGGAACATAATTTATACAAAACGAAATAAATTTTGACTTCTAATCATGTGATAGGAAGGATATTTATTCCTTGTGGCTGTAAAATTTAAGCAGAGTTTGGATGTCCTACCATGGCTAAATGGTCTGTACTATTCCATCAAACTATCGTTGTTGTGCAAATTATATGGATAGTCCGACCTGTCACGTCTGAAAAGTTTTTCCAATACAGGGACCATAGAGACCAAAACTATTATCTGAAACAAGCCAATGAAAATAAAAATGAAGTTCAAGATGAAGTACAAGCAGAGGTAAGATGTTCATATATTTGTCTTATGTAATCAGTTAATTCTATAGTTATTCTATGTCTTGTCCCACACAATCAGTGTGTTACTCTGGTGTATTGAATTGTTGTTTTACACTCAATGTCATTGGATTTTTTTTTTCTTATGTATTTTGCTTTTTTTACTAATTGATATTACTGTTGATTATAATTAACATAGTTGCTTTATCGGAATTTTGTTTGAAAAAATCACAATACCTGTCTTTTTACTTTACTTCAAGTACCGTCTATACATATTTTCATAAACAAAACTTGACTAAAACAACCTTTTTACTAGATAGGTCATATTAGACATTCAGTTTACATGTAAATCATTATTCAAGATTCGTGTTTTCCGACCCACCACCCTAACATTAACAGGAAACTTTCTTAATTCGTGTTCCTTGTTCTACGTACATCTACCATTGAGAAATACATGCCGTGTAACAAAAATAACAATAACAATTGTACAAAATTGTTTTTATTGTTCTCAATATACTTTGTATCATGACGGTATCTAAATGTAATGTTAAATTTAGACTGTTTAATCGCGTAGACATGAGTTGGCATTAACACAGAGTTAAACCCCGATAAGTAATGAATTTATTAGTCTAAGATTAATTCCTAAATCTGTTTGTAATTAAACACGTTCAATTATCACACTATGATAATTGTATGTGAACTTAATGGTAAGATTGCTATCTATAAAAACAAGATGGAGTCAAAGATGATTTTTTAATCCAAACATAAAGTCATACCAGTGAAAACACGTCTGGGATATGTAGCGCAATCATAGATTTTGTTGAAAGGGTTAACACTACATTGTGTTTGTTGTTGTGGTGGTTTTATTTTGTCATTGGGTTGCTGTCTCTTTTTGGCACCCCAGATCTCCAGTTATTCAAAATAACGAATACAGAAACTTCTGCGTTTAAAAAAATGTCTTCGAATTTAAAGTCTAATCATCATTTTTATCCACTAATGTAAAATGGACCCATCATACCGCCATTACAGCAGAAACCGATGAAATCACCTAGAGTTTGATGTCGACATTTAACTTCATATGGATGTTATTAAAGCGTTTTATTAGTCTTTAAAATCTTAAAGAAACATTAAAGATGAAGAACAGGAATAGAAATTCACCTGTTGTATATTTTGTTTACTCTGTCATCCCATACCATCGAACAGACGGTGACATGGACTTAAAGAATGTCATCACATAAGTTGGCCACGTTTCATTTTCCAGTATGATTAGCGATAGTCCAACATATTGACCGTTATTTAAACTTCACTTCACAGTCTTCAAGAATTAAGTGGCCCGTTTTAAATAAGTGGTAGGAGTGAAGCATATTTGATTTTCACAAATAAATACTTGTGTCTGATCTTAAACAGTATCAGTTTATAAAACGTTATCTGTTCAACTGTTTATTTAAGCATGTCTTCAGATTATTGAGGACGTTTTTATGAAGATCTTTTGTTAAAAGTTTTGATTTATTTCTCAATAAACTTAAGGACATTATGTAGATGTACTCATTTAAAACGTTCGATTTAACTGACATAGTTTTGAATGGATTAAAACATTTCACTAGCTGTACAATGTCTATGTTCAAACTGAACAACAGCATGTAATGCATGTCTGTGTAAAAAATTATATATACATTGTACTAGAAGCCCAAATAAAGCATGTATATAAATATACATTTGCATCAAATATAGATAAATGATTCATAGTAAGGTAGTTTTAGGCAGTGGATGGTTATAATAATAAAGGCGTGGGAAAGATATAGGCTTTTATTGCTACTCTTCACACTGTAATTTATGTGTATTCATCGTAGCAAACAATAAAAACTGATTTTGAAGGAACCGCCCTAGACCTATAAGTTTGTTAAATAACGCTGCTGTACCTCGTCCGTTGACATCCATTTCATGTTCCCCTCGTGCGCTTGTAATACTGGTAGCTGGACGTACAACATTATTAAATAAAATGTTTCCCTGGGACATCTGCACATAACAATTAAGCTAAACGATCGTGTATTGCCGTATTCATGAATATTCATTGCTTTAAGTCGTCTCTTAATATTTTTATCTATTGTTTGACATAGACCCTTGTAAGCCTCCTTGTGTAGTTTAGAACTTTCATTTAATACTAATCTATTCGAAAATTAATCTTGATAAAATTGTAAGTTCTTTTTATTGTTAATCTTTATACAATTCATCATAGTGCACTTTTTTCGTTTTCTTCTTTTTATTTTCATTTAAAATCCCATGTTTCTTTAAACCAGGTAGACCCTTGCACATAATGAAACTTTAAGATTCAGTTTTGGATTAATTTTTAAATCTTTATCTTTGATCTTTTTCCTTATAATAATATGTGATTGACGGGGAGTATTCTCAGATGTAAAGTTATGGAATATTATTGAATGAACACGTGCAAAAATTAATAGAAAATGTTCATCTACCTAAAGAGACAATTTAATATTTTTATGGTGATTTTCATATTATATTTGTTATGAACGACAGTTTGAATCAGCTGGGTAAGAGTGAATGAAGGGTATCAAAGCATTGCATATACTGACGTTCCCTTCGATAGCAAGCGAGGCGAGTACACCTTTAAATGAAAGCACAGCATGTAATCAAAAACACAGCAGAAGGAAACATTTAATCCGTTTTACTAAATCGTATCCCATAAACTCCTTAATATCCCTCATTCAAGTGAACATTTAAATGATCTGCTTGTATTCTTGAAATAATTATAAAGTTTAATATCTTTCATTAATGTACATTGAGTGTAGTGTTACACAGTTTAATGCATTACATAAGTGAACCACTGCGATGGCTGGTCTTAATAAGTACACCTTCATATTCACTCTAGACCACCAAAGATTCCGTTTATATTACTTTCAAAGATGTAACTCTCAATTTCTTGTATATATTTATAGGATATGCATTGTTATATATGATATATGAGAAAACGAAATATATCAATATAAAAAAGGAAAACTTAGCAGATAAGATCTTCGTCATAAGAATTATGATTTACATCTAAAAAGATGGCAAAATACTAAAATGTTTTAAAAATTATAAAAATATTTTGTTCAGGATAAGAAAGAAAAACAGATGAAAGTTGACAAACTTCAAGGCAAAATGTTCCCTCATTATAAAAAATGAGATTAAGAACTTTTACTTTATTGACACTATATTTAGGATTTCTGTATGTTCTTCCACGTTCACATGTTAGAAATAGTTATGTGAACAAACAAAATACAAGTATTTCATATATTTTTCAATACATGATAACGTCCTACTGAAATAGTAGACTATCTGTTGTGTGTTAATGTAGGTCTTATAACGGTCGCTTTAATTTGTTTATTCGGTACAAAATATATAAGTGAATATAGGACAAGTAAGTAGGCCAAGAACATTGTTACTATTAAGTATATTATTACAAATTTTATGTCGTACATGTAGCGATTGCAACAATAGTACTGCATCAAACATTCGAAGGGATTTTCTTTTTATATAACTTTTTTGCTGCATAGTCACAGGAATACGGATCTCTATCATATTAAAATCCGTATTTCTGAGAATCGATTATATTCAGAGTTAACCAACAATCATATTATATAAGTATATCATATATTTAAATATTTTGGAGGAGGTGATACTTTTGCAAATTTGAAAGTAAAATGACACCAATGACACCCGTTAGATATAACACTTGTCTTCTACTTCAAAGAGAAATTTTTATTAGACCAACAACAATTGCATTCTTTGGAACCAATATTTTGAAATTTAACTCAACCAAAGAATATGTTTTGCAACATAACTTAAATGCTGATATAATATACACATTATCTTAGTCTACAAAATCACATATATAACCAGCTATATAACTTTATACCCACCTGTAGTCTGACAAGATCATTTTTCACAATCCTATGATATATTGGTAAAAATGATAAGATGCCAGAAGCTTCGATGTGATGGTTATTCTTTGGCATCATCAACTTCATGTAGAAAAAAAACAGTCAAAAAGTCGTATATAAACTAGGCAGAAACTTAAAACGAGAAGGAACATGCATTCCAAAGGTCACGTACTGGAGAATAAATAGTAATTATATTTGATGATGATCGAAGTCGTGTTTGATTAATACTTTTCCCGCGAGATCCTTTGCAGATGACCCCGTATACATCAATGGATGCAGACTTTAAGCTTGACCCGCCCATTGTTTTAATTATATTTTTCGACGTTTTCTTATCGCTTCATTACAATCTATGCATTTCCTAGTCATCAATCTAACACCTATATCTATAGTTTGATAGATGTTGTCTGAGGCATTTGTTTTTCATCACGTATTTCTGATATTCTACATGTTTTCATGTTCAACGGTACTGTTAGTTTTGTTGATTTTACCTATATATTTGACCACTGCACATGTGGTTTACCGTTAAACAATTTAGCACTAATGTAATTCTTATCATTCCTTTGTTGAGAAACAGTACATGAAAGGTTCCTTCTCTACTTCATTAAACTAGATGTGCTACTAGTAAATATACAGTAACATTGATAGCTACACTTATTAAACAGAGGAAAATGCGTGAATTTTGATGCACAGACACATGCTGTTGTGGATTTAAAGAAAGTGTTTCTTATTCTAAAATTCGCGAAGACCATCAAACTGACCATATAACTATCATATCGACTTTCAGTTATTCCGAAATCAAGACGTTGTGTGGACTTTTTTACGTTATGCCTGTAATTATTGAGCTGAGTTTATGGCATATCAGTGTATATATCGAGTTCTCATTTCAGACTGACGTACTTTTAACGGGTTTATAAATGTTCGACTCTATATATTATTTTTAAAAATTCATTGAAATTGTAAATGTCCGCCACGACGCCCCTTTACTAGATTTACACATTTATTGAAATTCGCATACTGCCTCAAACTTACAATCTTTCCCATTTATTCGAACCTAAAACATTTCTGTCGGTTATTTTTGTCGCTGTCTTGCCGTCTTTTTGGCGCATACCTAACATTTCCTTTTATACAAATCTGATACGGGGAATCAGCAATTTGACTACTAAATCTGAAACATGTTTTACGGGAAGTTAAAAATGCATGCATGCATACCCATCGTTTCATACATTTACAGTAACCACTAAATATACTCAAGACGTTTTAAATCTTATTTATACAGTGTTTCACGTATATGTTTTTCTAGAAGCGAGCTAAAAAAAATTGCCCATTATAGTTGCATCAGGTTTTATCCTAAAAGAACAAGAAACCGCATACCAATGTCTTATAACGTATACTGCCTTGACTGTCATTATAATATTATAGACTATGATTGTTTTGGAATGTGCATGTAATATTTGCCGTTGGATTTTAATCAGTCATCAATCAAGCTATAAATCTTATTCTTGGTTGATCTTTTCATACCTGTTCCCCTCTGAAGTCATAAACAAATCAAGATCTATTTATCTACCTCCCCTCATTTGATAGTGTTCATTTTATACGCAGAATATCTACAGTACGGTGTTCATTTTATCAAACTGTTTACAATTGAATAAGTACGTATTACGCAACCTGTTAAATGGTAGTACGTCTGCTAAACAAATCTAAAATTCATCGCTAGCTTTACCAGAGTGCATACCACAGACAAAAACATATATAACATGTGTTCTTTGTTTTGTTTATGATTGCTTCTTATGCAGTATAAGAATTTTCTATATCTATATTACAGATGCAGCTTGAAAAATATGGATACCTGCGGTGCAAAGTAGGTCGACGCAAACGGCGGTCGGTGGATACACCGACACACAATAGTTTTAATGTTTTTGAGGGAAATGGGAGAAGTTGTAGTGAGGACGAAATTAAAACTGCAATCAAAGAATATCAAAAGAAATATAAATTACCTGAAACAGGTGTAGTAGATGAAGAAACAAGAAAGTTCATGAGCACTTCAAGGTGCGGGAACTCGGATAGTGCCGACAACCCTGACATTGAACCAGTAGATATTACTGATATGGTTCCAATTGAAGTTATTAATCCTCCTCCAAGTAAAAAACGGTGGAAAAGAACAGCCAAAAATACAGTATTATATAAATTATTATTTCCTCAATTAACTGATAATAGTGTCAAGATATCTGGTAAAAGAAGAACTAAATTCCTTTTAAATCATATTCAAAAAATTAAAAATGAAGATCCAATATGGCTGCGACCAAAGAGACACAAAAGATTTGTTAACATTCATATCAATGAAACGGGACTGAATGGTGAAAAAATTAGAGACGGTCAAAAATTCACAAAAACGGATATTCGATGGCGATTATTAGAGAATGGTTTCAGCACAAGAATACCTTTAGAAGATCAAAGAGCAAGTCTTAATATGGCATTCCGTATGTGGAGTGAGGTAATTCCTCTCAACTTCGAAGAAGATGTATCTGGTGATATAAAAGCCGTAGATATAGAAATAGCATTTGGAAGAGGTGAGAATTGTTTTGTATATATAAGTGGTTTTGATGTTTAAATCAGTAACATTGAAATTATTCTACTACCTTTATGATTAACCTCCATCTATCACTATTTATTTCAAATCAGAATCAAATCTGAAATACTGTATTTTTTGTTGGGTAAATTGACTCATGGACATAAATGAATCCACGTGTCATTGTGTCTCTGACAACACTGTGGACACTGTCGTTGAATGCATAATGAATCCACGTGTCATTATGTCTCTGACAACACTGTCATTGAATGCGTAATGAATCCACATTTCATTATGTCTCTGACAACACTGTCATTGAATGCGTAATGAATCCACATTTCATTATGTCTCTGACAACACTGTCATTGAATGCGTAATGAATCCACATTTCATTATGTCTGTGACAACACTGTCATTGAATGCGTAATGAATCCACATTTCATTATGTCTCTGACAACACTGTCATTGAATGCGTAATGAATCCACATTTCATTATGTCTCTGACAACACTGTCATTGAATGCATAATGAATCCACATTTCATTATGTCTCTGACAACACTGTCATTGAATGCATTATGACATGATATATTAACATATCGTACGAAATTCGTGGACAATGAATGTCCCCCGGCTATGGTGGGATTCGTGTTGCTCAGTCTTTAGTTTTTCTTTGTTGTTTTTTGTATACTGTTGTTTGTCTTTTGTTTTTGCATTGACAGTTCGTTTTAGACTTATGAGTTTGAATATCTCTTTGGTATATTTCGAATCTCTTTTTACAAGTATAGTAGGGATTCCTCTGCTCCTCATGTAGTAAGACGAATTGATTTTAACTAGTAGTAAAGAGTCTGGGCGATTAGTTATAACAGTATGTTATACTTTTCTTTTTGCAAAAAGGGGAGGACACATTTTCTCCTCGTAAAAAAAACAAATGCATAGGCTCTTTCCTTTTATTTCATTTCTCTTTTTTACTTTTATATCATTTGTTAGTGTTTTATTGATAACTCTTTTCTCTGTTATTTGATGTTCAACAATCAGCAATCAATCGATGATTTCAAGGTTTTTATTTAGCTTCATTTGACATGTTTGTCCAGTGCTTGCCAAATGTCAGACGAAATATCTTAATCTCAGACAAAAACAGATCGATGATGCGATCATGGTCAATCTTCTATCTCATCGTGCCTGCTACGTATAATCATAGCGTTTATCCTCCTGGTCAATCTTCTATATTCTCGTGCTTCGTATAATCATAACGTTTATCCTCCTGGTCAATCTTCTATCTCCTCGTGCTTCGTATAATCATAACGTTTATCCTCCTGGTCAATCTTCTATCTCCTCGTGCCTGCTACGTATAATCATAACGTTTATCCAGGAGGTCTGGAATTTTAATACAATTATCATTAAGCTGATAAACATAATTATATAATGAAACAAATAATAACGGTTTTTCAAGGTTTTCAGACTGTTGTTTAATTCGGTTACTATGCCAGTCTACTAGACTTGTAGTATACTATACATTTAATGTAATTTAATGTGAAATATGGCATTAATATTGGATATTTTGCTGTTTACATGAAAGCTTGATTGTAGATAGTTCCGTATCAATCAAATTTGATTACGAAAACTGTTTTGTAGTAAAATGATTGAGTATGGAGATGGTCGGTAATTATCACTCGGTTGCTGTCCGTGAAATTACGTCATTTAGCTCTGCAGTTTAATTAGAATCCATTTTGACAAATATTTCATCTTAAAATCAGCTGATTTATGAGTTTTTAGATTGCATTTTGTATGAAAACACAGAGGTCGAGTCTTTTCTGCAAATTGATGTTAAGATTTGAAGGAATTTTCAGTCAACTTTTATGATTCATTTTCTGTTATAAATTGTTATATTACATTTTCAAATTATATCATCAAACTCTTGTCAAAGAGGTAATAAAGCGAGAACCACAGACAATACAATATTTTATCTGAAGACGCCCAGAATGTGAAAACGTTTATCTATAGATTCCAAAAATTAAACTAGCATTGTTTTCTATTATGCAAAATAGTTTATATTTATATTGTTTAAAACAATTATGTGTTCTTCAGACGCCACGGTTCTAACCAATGCCAACTGAAACATTTTCATTTTACCAACTTGTTTGAAAAGCCTTCTAATTCTAACATAGTCTCTCTATAATGGATATATTCGAAACCTTGATCTTTTTTTTTTCTATGACTCAAACATTTCTTAGATATATCAACTTGTATTGATTGATGAAGTAAACATCAATCTCTTAACTTTTTGTTGATACGAAAACATGTAATCGGATTTATTAATGCATACAAACATCACAATAATGTCGGTTGTGAAATTCATCTTCTTAATTTCGATAGTAAACTTTTTGCACTGTTTTGCATTCTTAAAAAGTCTTATTTGGGCTACATGTAATTTCTTATGTATATATTTGAATTCGCATATTCAACCAGGTTCAACCCACCATTTTTTTCTTAGAAATGTCCTGTACCAAGTCAGGAAAATGGCAATTGTTATCGTAAAATTTGTTTCTATGTGTGTTGCATTGTCGTTTGTTGTTTGTTCACTTCAGTGTTTCTGTTGTTTCGTTGTCCAAATGTACTATATTGTATTGTTTATTTGCGTAATTCTCTGTCCGTAATGTTGTACTGTATTCATGTCATGTAATGGTGTCATTTTAGTGTTATATTTAACATTGCCATAAAAGTGCGAGGTTTGGCTAGCCACAAAACCAGGTTCAACCCACCATTTTTTTCTTAAAATGTCCTGTACCAAGTCAGGAAAATGGCCATTGTTATATTATAGTTCGTTTCTGTGTGTGTTACATTTTAATGTTGTGTTTCTGTTGTGTCGTAGTTCTCCTCTTATATTTAATGTGTTTCCCTCAGTTTTAGTTTGTAACCCGGATTTGTTTTTTTCTCAATCGATTTATGAATTTCGAACAGCGGTATACTACTGTTGCCTTTATTTCCTCGATGAAGAATACGAATATGTACGTCAGTTTTCTGATAATGATGCTTTTGTACAAGTACTGTCTTTATAAACCAAGGTTACTTGCGTCATAATTTACTTCTTTCTTCACATCTCTAAGACTTAGGATTCGATTTAGTTTTACAACATAGAGAAGTATGTAGATCACTAGGCGACTATTTTTACTTCCTTGAAACTTTGTGGTAAGGGCATATAGTATTACCTATGTACGTAATTCCATCTGTCTCAAACTATTGTCTGGACTTTTTTTATCGACATGACTACAGATATATTGATCTGACTTTTGATAAATTAGTGTATGAAGATGACTTACAGATGGGTTTCAGTTTCCTTTTGGTGGCCGACTTTTGGAGAGAATTACTGTCCCTGGAAACCCTTGGAAAATACACTTGTCTGTACAGGTTTGTAATGCCTACAGCTGTTTAGAGATATTTTTGTGTATATGTGTTCAATGATAACTAACAGATCAAGTTTGTAGTTTGTTTTCTCCAGTTGACCAAAATTTAGGGAATTCAAATAGTTGTCGTTATCAACAGTTTTCAATTTCGTTAACCCACTTTTCCCATTCAACAAAGACAGAATGCATTTGTAGGTTAACCACATTAGCAACACTATAAACCTATGAACTCAGTGCTGCCAGTGTATATTCATGGGAATGTGTAAATAGCAAAACCAGAAACTAAGAAACCAGAAATCAGAAATCAGAAACCAGAAACCAGAAACAAGAAACAAGAAATTAAAAATATTTAATATTGAATATGCTCCTAATAACTAATTATAATTGACTTGATATAAATTCACATGTATAACTGATAAGGACTCTGATCTTTATGCACCTGCTGTAGCAGAAAAACTTATCAATTGTAATAAAACTTAATTATCTACAAAAAAGTGTCAGTTCAGTGTTAGACTGCATATACATAACTTGTTACAGATTTTTAATTGTGTTGAAAGGTTTACATTGTTTATAGATGTTTTAATAATGTGTTTACTATAGTAAAGGGTTCCTCCATTTGACATAGTTTATTATTATGTCAACGAACTTGGCCAGCTTAAACTATCACTCAGGCTGGAATTTGTCCATTACCATATTAACACACAGTGTATTTTGAAGAAAGATTCATTATTCGATGGACAGAAAATTCTCTTTACACCCCTTATTTCTTTCGGTTTTTCGCTAAACCCTAATGGTTACATTGACATTTGAATCATCTTTTCAATATTTTTTGTCATATTTGTGAAATTTAATACTGATATGACACCCTTTTACTTTTTAACTTCATTCAGTATTAACCAAAATATTAGGGGGAACAGCAATTAAACCAGCATCTAACATGCCCAATATCTACATGCTTGAATTATAGTCATTTTATAAACAGTTGAAGATTGTGTCATCTTTCTCTATTTTATACATTTTTACATAGAAACTATGAACAGTGTAACTGATGATTGTTTTTTATTCTATTTCCTTGTGACCATCTGACCACCATTTATTTAAATGATTAAATAACATTGAAAGACATGTTTACAGGTAGAATGTAAAACAATATTAAAACATCTATAATCAATGTTTACCTTCCAACACAATTAAAAATCTGTGTATTAACAAGTAATAATTAATGTATGCAGTCTAACACTGAACTGACACTTTTTTGTATGTGATTAAGTTTTGTTCATCTGATAAGGTTTTCAGCTACAGTAGGTGCATAAAGAACAGTCCTTATCAGTTATAAATGTGTAATTATATCATGTCAGTTAGTTATTTAAAAAAAATAATATTCACATGATATACTTTTTATATTTTGTTTCTTGTTTCTGGTTTCTGGTTTCTTGGTTTCTGGTTTTGCTATTTACACATTCCCTATATTCATTGTACACCCCACCTGTTGTGTACTTCAAAAATGTGTATTTAGCCATTAGACATTTGTTGTAAAAATTTGCGCCAGAGAAGATGGTGAAGTTGTCATTTCTCTGTTTGGCTTTTACATATATTAAGATCTACTTTTCTGAAATGACTGAATCACTGATGTTATAAGAATTTAGAGGTCGAGTTTGTTTCATTCTGTTGTGGGTTTATTTGGTTGCAACTGGTTTTACTCTTACTTTTATTTGTCTTACGATGTACACATTCTCATCTGTTTTGGGTTTATTCAATTCCAATATTTTTGTCTGTTTGTACCTGCTTTTTGTATTTAATTTTGTTAACCATATTTTACAGGATCACATCAAAATTGTGAAAGGAAGTTTGATGGTAATGGCGGTGAGATTGCCCATTCTAGAGAAAACGGTAGGGACGTTGTACATTTTGATGATGAAGAGGATTATAAATCTATAGAATCCATTACAAAAGAAAAAGACGGGATTTATTTATTACGTGTAGCTGTTCATGAAATAGGACATGTGTTGGGACTATCTCATTCTAGCCAGATCACATCTATCATGTATGCTATTTATCATCAGAGTAATGTTAATCCAGATAAAGAATTCGAGCTGACCTGGGATGATAGGAAAGCAGTACAGAAAGCTTATGGTAAAGTTTTTTTTTTATATTTTTAAAATTATCGGATAGTTATTTATTACATGATGTTTATCCTGCATTTCATCTTCTTTACATCAATCCAATTTCTTACTTCGAGCAAATACTTAAGTGTGTAATGAGCATTGTTTAGTGATTCTAGCAATATTGAATCTTTAAAATTCCAAGTTGATTTACCTTTTTGAATTCTTACCCCCGTATAGTTGTTTCTGGATTGAAATATTGAAACATTTGGGTTTATCTACATCTAGGCATAGATGGCCTTTGCCAGATTTGGCACACAATTATGAATTTTTGTTCTTCATCTTTGTAATTCCTTTGGCCTTCAAACTGTTGAACTGTTTGAGCGCCACTGATGAATCGTGTACAGAAAAATCGCGCGTTGGGCGTACTGACGTAAAAGCCTGGTAAGTGAGTTTTGAGAATGTGATTTCTTTTCTTTTGTTTTGATTTGTTTTTTGAGTGTATTTGTTTTTGTTTCTTCGCACAGTTTTTTGGGTTTTGAAATATTTTTATTGTCAGGGGTAAAAAGATGTTGGAATTTTGTGTTGTTGGCAGTTATTTTATAGCCTCTCTTAGAAATATTCACTACTGCTCTAGCAGGACAAGCAGTCCCTGTTCCATTAATTGTACCCTTTATGTTGTTTATTACCATTGATATCATTTCCAGCACTCCATTTATGACAATTTATCGGATATCACAAATAATCAGAAATGCAGGCATACATGCAACATGCGGAGTAGGAAACGCTAGCCTATCAGAAGAACTGGATGGCCACTAATGGAATTTGGCTGTTACACTGAGGATGTCGATATATCTCGGGGTTGTCTAAGTCTTGTACGGTTCTGTCCTGATCTGTTCCGTAGGACATCGTCAATTCATATACTTATATTTTATTATCATCAAATAAATTGAATAAGTACATGGTTGTACTTAAAATTGTGGTCATAATTGAGTGGTTCCATGTGAATCTTTATCAGTTTGTTACGTCATAACCAGTAACATTTCTGATTAGTACGTGTCTGCAACGGGGGCACTTTATGATTAATTTACAAAAAGTAGGTTACTCATTTATTTGTATTATTTATCAATTTAAAACCTGAATCTATAATCTTGTTAAGATTGAAATGTACCCACATTAATTTATTATCGAATCTTGAGTGATCTTTTATAAAAATACGTAACTGTAAATAAAATGCGATAAAATTGTTAAATGTTCAAAACCTGTTAAAAAATTACAGAAGGAAACTTAACACAACATTGTGAAATAAATTAAAACAACACTTTATTAATATCATGCGTCCGAAGCGCTTTTCTGGATTTACCGTCACCAGGAACGCTCAAAGCCAAATATTTGAAAGCCGAGGATGTATAAGGACCGAAACAGTTGCAGAGCTATTTGACCAAAAAGTACCTAAAAACAATAGCCAAATCCATTTAAGGTCAACTTTGCCTGAGGGAGTTGAAACCTTAGTTTCTTTATAATTTCAAAATTTATATGTGAAAGGTCATACTTATTTTTCTTATTATAATAATAAAAAATTGTAAAAAACAAACATCTAATATGTAAAAACACAACAACAACAAAAACAATAAGATACCAAGAGGACAATAAAATCTCACCAAATATATCAGGTTTATAATTTGTTACTACATAAGCGTATTAGTCAACATAAAATCCACCAGTCGTTCTCGAATCAAAACACTTAGAAGGCCAAATACAAATAGGAGATTTAAGGACATTGAAAAATTTCCCCAAAATATTGGGGCAAATACGGCGAATGGCATCTATGGAAACCTTAGTGTTTCAAATGATTAAACTCTTAAATAAACAATACATTGACAGAAATGACCGTATCTTCTGATATCATCTGCCTCTGAAGGGTAAGAGGTTCCTTCTCGACTTGAAGCACCCGTTTTATTTCTCATGATAATGAATATGGTGAAACGTTGCGTTCGTGACGAAAAACACCAAGAAAGGAAGACAAATGAAGCATATCCTTACATTCTATAATGGTCATCTAATATTACTTTCGAAGACATGACCAGCTTTATAATTAAGAACCCTTAGTCGGTACTTATGTTCGGGAACAGAAATCCTCTGTCAGTGAAATTGTGATAGGAAACGCCAGCCCTGAAATATCCTTTTCACTGTGAGATATATACCCCATGTGGTGATGCTACTAAAAGGTGCTACGTGGAAGTTCATAATGGAAAAAGTAATCTTCTCAACCGACCCTTAGTATTAATTTTTAGTTGTGTTTATGTAAAGACATGAAACAGACTATGTATTATCATTATTAAAGTGGAACGCGAAGTTAAAAAAATATGCTAGTTTTGTTTTTATTCTTCTTTATGCGATATCTGCCTTATACAACTAAAGGAAATAGTCAATAAGAATAGGGGCACAGTTGGTTCCCATAGGAGTGTTTACTTTCTGTCAACTAAACGCATCAAATATAATTCATCTTGATTATATCATTTTTAGAGAATTTGCTTTACAATGTTACTTGTAACTTATATGATTCTCTTAAACAAGACGACCGATAAATTTCATTAACATAAGTTAACAAATGTATTCAATAAATATTAAATTGTTTAGGGAAAAGGTAGCACATCAACAGTACGGTACTGTTTAGTGTCCGAACATCTACACAAAAGCGTCAACCATAAATTACTAATCATTGTTTATAATGGCTTTAACCATGAAATCCACTTGCAACACCTAATGGTGGTAAATAATACACATCACACCATACTATCACTGGGGATGACACAACAAACGAAAGGGATATACGTTGCTTGAAAGCATCACCACACGTAGGCATACCGTCATAAGAAAAATGTAAAAATTAAATCATTTATTACTGTGTAGTTCTAATTGTTCTTTCTTAGAACATACGTGTTTTTTTTTTTTTTTTTATATTCCTCAATTATTATATAGTATACAGCTATTGACAGTGACAATAAAACATCCATTATACCATTACATTTGTGGCACTGTACGATGAATTGACATTTACAATGATATAAAGAGCGAAAACCCGTTTATTAAAAATTACTGCTCGTATAAAGAAAGATCAATCAAGTTATTAATTTCAAATTTCACAACTAGATACTTTAGAAAATTCAAAAACCATTATTTATTTGAACACTTAAGGATTTGTATTTTTAAAATCTATATTAGTAAGCATCCATACTCCTAAGACTTGACCATACATGGAAATAATTGTATAACTGTGCGCATTTTAAAAATAAATAAAGAGTGTTAAACCTTTTTATGTTAAGTTAAGGAATGCTATGATATTTTAGGAATAAACGTCATAGAGACACCAACCAAAAAAATTAATAACACTAAAATGACGTCTGGAATGCAAGATGCGATTTGAATGAAGTATATCAAGCTTTAAAGCACTTCTAGTCTAAACGTTGTAAATAAATGCATTAGTAGCTACTAAAGGTCTGTTATCTTCATTTCCGGAATAAACAGAAAACATTCAGTTAGAAAGTTAAAAGGCAAAGACAATATCTGTGAAAGTTCCTGACATTGGACAGAGTTACTAACGTGTTGTTGTGCTGGCATAGTTTTTGTCTTTAAAACTCTCTTTTTCATCTTTATCAAAAGGATAAAGAAGAAAAAGGTCAAGAAATGTATAAGTCCAGGAAATGCCTTTATTCAATTCCATCAGTATAGCATGCTTTCTTGCAAATTTATATCGACCTCTGTATTTCCATGTAGATTACTTGAGACAGTAAGGACTATTGCAAAATACAACGATTTTAATTCTTGTAAATAAAATAGGAAGACTGATATTTGTTTAAAAAATATGATCCATCTCCAAAAACACAAGGTTCGAGTTTATATTTTCTCAGTCCATTTAACAAGATGTCTGGGAAGTAACTTGATTTTATACATTTATACAACATTAGGTTAGTTATGTGTTGACAAGTAAGACAACATAAAATGTATTGGTATCTCACTAATAAAACATTTATTGAAAAGGTACATCCATTAATCGATTTACGGAAACTAAAGGCGAATCTGATACCATTCAGAAAGTGAAAACCTACAAAATCATAAATCATCCGAAGATTTGAATCTTTAACGTTTCATATGTGGACATTTTAAAACATTTGTCGCCTGCTACGTTATTGATGAAGTCAAACATAATACTTGTGGGTGTTCATTTAAGATCATTCGAACTTACGAATAATAAAATCCATTCATCTTTTTCATTGAATGAATATGATATTAATCGAGAAGATAGTATAAGTGAATGGATGTTATTTTAAATGGCAGGTCGGAAAACAACTTTGAAACGTACAGACAATTTTATATCATTTAAATGGCAATAATATATAAGAGCTGAGGAAATCGTTCAGTTGTTAAAAATGAACTGTTAATGAGCCACTTCCCATATTTAATTGAAAACAGGAATGGTTCGTTATGACACCATCATGGCAATGTTTCTTCGTTTCAAATAAATTAAAAGCCGGATATCAGTTGAACAATTGCTTCCCATCCTTTTGTGAGCGGGACAAATTAATGATCTAAATAAGTGAAATTAAAATCACGAATTCCTCGTATTAATCTTTCAGAATTTTTCCCTTGTTAGCAATGTTTTGTTTTGTAATTTTAAAGATAGTTAACTTTTATCATTTTCTGCTCATAATCATCGTCGTGCTTTCGATATGCAAAAATAAAGAAAATCTGTTTTTTTAAAGGGAGGCTTTTAGTTTAATTTACGAAAGTGTCTGAATATTCAGATGATTTTCAAAAGGAATAAATAGCTGGAAGTCAAGTTGTTTTCTAATATCACAGTTTAACAGGAATATGTAAAAGCAACACTTTATCTCTTTGGTTTATCTTATCTGGTTTTTTTTAATTTAAACAGGAGTATGTAGAGGAAAATTCAATACGATATTCGACTGGGTAAGGAAAACGCCTAGTAATGGACTAATATACAATACCTACTTCTTCAGAAGTAACCAATATTGGATGTATGAAAACCACGCCAATCGTACAAGATATGGCGATCCGTTATACGTTGCCCAGGAATGGAAAGGTGTGCCAGATAATGTAGACGGTTACCTTCATGTATGGTACTTTGCTGGAACTCGAATTATTGACGATACATACTTCCTCAAAGGTATTTCTATTGCATGTACTATATAAATAACTAGAGGCTCTAAAGAGCCTGTGTCGCTCACCTTGGTCTATGTGCATATTAAACAAAGGACACAGATGGATTCATGACAAAATTGTGTTTTGGTGATGGTGATGTGTTTGTAGATCTTACTTTACTGAACATTTTTGCTGCTTACAATTATCTCTATCTATAATGAACTTGGCCCAGTAGTAACAGTGGAAAATATTTTGTAAAAATTTACAAAAATTTACAAAATTTATGAAAAGTGTAAAAAAATTGACTATAAAGGGCAATAACTCCTTAAGGGGTCAATTGACAATTTTGGTCATGTTGACTTATTTGTAGATCTTACTTTGCTGTACATTATTGCTGTTTACAGTTTATCTCTATCTATAATAATATTCAAGATAATAACCAAAAGCTGCAAAATTTTCTTAAAATTACCAATTCAGGGGCAGCAACCCAACAACGTGTTGCCTGATTGGTCTGAAAATTTCAGGGCAGATAGATCTTGACCTAATGAACAATTTTATCCGCGTCAGATTTGCTCTAAATGCTTTGGTTTCAGAGATATGAGCCAAAAACTGCATTTTACCCTATGTACTATTTTTTAGCCATGTCGGCCATCTTGGTTCACGGGTGGGGTCATCGGACACATTTTTTAAACTAGATACCCTAATGATGATTTTGGACAAGTTTCGTTAAATTTGTTCATGTAGTTTCAGAGAAGAAGATTTTTGTAAAAGATAACAAAAATTTACGAAAAATGGTTAAAAATTGACTATAAAGGGCAATAACTCCTTAAGGGGTCAACTGACCATTTTGGTCAAGTTGACTTATTTGTAGATCTTACTTTGCTGAACATTATTGTTGTTTACAGTTTATCTCTATCTATAATAATATTCAAGATAATAACCAAAAGCTGCAAAATTTTCTTAAAATTACCAATTCAGGGGCAGCAACCCAACAACGTGTTGCCTGATTGGTCTGAAAATTTCAGGGCAGATAGATCTTGACCTAATGAACAATTTTATCCGCGTCAGATTTGCTCTAAATGCTTTGGTTTCAGAGATATGAGCCAAAAACTGCATTTTACCCTATGTACTATTTTTTAGCCATGTCGGCCATCTTGGTTCACGGGCGGGGTCATCGGACACATTTTTTAAACTAGATACCCTAATGATGATTTTGGACAAGTTTCGTTAAATTTGTTCATGTAGTTTCAGAGAAGAAGATTTTTGTAAAAGATAACAAAAATTTACGAAAAATGGTTAAAAATTGACTATAAAGGGCAATAACTCCTTAAGGGGTCAACTGACCATTTTGGTCAAGTTGACTTATTTGTAGATCTTACTTTGCTGAACATTATTGTTGTTTACAGTTTATCTCTATCTATAATAATATTCAAGATAATAACCAAAAACGGCAAAATTTCCTTAAAATTACCAATTCAGGGGCAGCAACCCAACAACAGGTTGTCCGATTCATCTGAAAATTACAGGGCATATAGATCTTGACCTGATAATCAATTTTATCCCAGTCAGATTTGCTCTAAATGCTTTGGTTTCAGAGATATAAGCCAAAATCTACATTTTACCCCTATGTTCTATTTTTAGCCATGGCGGCCATCTTGGTTGGTTGGCCGGGTCACCGGACACATTTTTTAAACTAGATACCCAAATAATGATTGTGGCAAAGTTTGGTCAAATTTGGCCCAGTAGTTTCAGAGGAGAAGATTTTTGTAAAAGTTAACGACGACGGACGACGACGACGACGACGGACGACGGACGCCAAGTGATGAGAAAAGCTCACTTGGCCCTTTGGGCCAGGTGAGCTAAAAAAGGAGATGTGGGGAATACGTCAATGTTCAATGAATAATGTTTATTATTTTTTTTTATTTCCATATATTCTTTCAATACTTTAAACCAACTAATTTTCGCGAGCGATTTATTTTCACGACTTTCGCGAGTAGAAAATTACGCGGATATAAATCGTTGCGAATATGAAAAACTTTGAGCTTTCCTTAACTACATCAAGTAGCAATTTGGAAATATCGAACTTAATCGCCGAGAAGTGGGCTAGAAAGGGCTAAATGCGAGATAAAGTATCCGCGAAAATAAGTTGGTTTACAGTTTGTTATGCAGATGTGCATGTACTTTTAAAACATTGTCCTGGTAATGGAGTTGTTGGTAACTCATTTCCCAGTGAAATTAACTTGTTTTACAATTCCGGGAACTTTGAATGTAGAACAAACAATCTTGTTTGTGACATAATGAATACTCCAAACTGTTGGACCTCGCTCTTTAATTAGCTACGGTTCACGAGGTTTCATTTTCGCGTTTTTTCTGACCCTTTATTCTGATATTGCTTAAAGATCAAACTACGCGAGGGGAGATTTTATCCATTTTTCTGAATCGCGAAACAAGCGGAAATAACCAATTTTACTGTATGAGCCAAATAGATAATTACTTAATAACAATCTTTCCTTCGTTTCATGCAGCAGAATTGTGTAAATTTCTTTTTCAGGTGAAAATTACTTCCTTTATAACAGTGAAGAAGATAAAGTTTATGATGGTGGTACTGGAAAGATCAGTGAAAAATTTGGACCAAAGAAAGGTCAAGATTTAGGCGTTCCGGACAATTTAGATACAGCTTACTTCGATAAGCGAGATAAAAATATATATTTCTTCAAAGGGGATACTGTAAGTCAAAAGTCTATCATTACGATGTATAGGTGAACACTAACCTTAATATTGAAACATAACTACTTTTGGAAGAATTTTAATATTAAGTTTGATCAAACGATGCTAATAAACAAACTTCATCATAGCCGAAATCCCTTCCTCTTTTCTTGTTAATAAATCATCACCTAATGAACATGTAAAACCTGTCTTGTGTGTCACTGGTGGAATAGGAACTGCTCACATCAGAGCTTCAGAGTTGTTTCTAATTTAGATGAGGTTTTTTTGTTTCCCTGTCTGTATCTGTTTACTTTTCCAGTATGACATATCTTCTTCTCTTTCCAGTATGACATATCTTCTTCTCTTTCCAGTATGACATATCTTCTTCTCTTTCCAGTAGGACATATCTTCTTCTCTTTCCAGTAGGACATATCTTCTTCTCTTTCCAGTAGGACATATCTTCTTACTTTTCCAGTATGACATATCTTCTTCTCTTTCCAGTATGACATATCTTCTTCTCTCTTTTTTGTTTGGTATTAAGATGGGTTATCCGGTCTCATCAGTGTATTTTATAAAAACCTCTTTGACATAAATTATATTAATTCAGGCGTTAAAATAGTACATGTATATGGCAATAGTACAGACAAAAAGGAATGTAACGTTTAACTTTGTTAATTTATTCTTATGGAAAACTTTTCTTGTCATTGTTACAAATTCACAAACATTGACTTTTGGATTAGTTTTGAAGTCTTTGACATTATTCAAAGCAGCAATGGATATTTGTTCAAAAACTCCAATCCGTTGCTTACATTCAAGCTTCCCTTTCTTTTGAAGTTATTTAAATGTAAATCCTTTTATTTGTAGAAGTAGAAAAATCTCTTTGAAAAGGCTTTTAAGAATGAAATCGTGGAGATATAACTTATCAACGATTGTAACGTTCAAACTGTCTAAAAACTGGCAAATTTTCAATGTAGTTTACCATAGCAGAATTGTTAAGTTCATTTTATTACTCATTCTTTTTGTTGAAATTTTCCCATTGATGTCCTTGAAAATCCAATTGATGCCCTTGAAATTTGTTTTTGTTATTTATGTATGTCGCAAATTTGTGCAAGTGTGCAAGTTTAAAAAGATGGGTTATTATAGATGTCAGACATAACATTCAAGGCACATTTCAATTAATCTTAAAAGTATCCATGCTGAGGGCCCTTCCCTTTAACAATGTTTTGAAACATTAAAAAAAAAATATTTCTTTAACAGGTCAATAGTGCCATTCTAATAAATATATAAATTACTTTTCTAGAGTTACAAATAATCGCATATTGATTTTGGCTTTCTCTCAGTTTTTATGATTCATGTACCGATTGCAACTGAAGACCTAAAATGCATGTAAGACTGTGTGACAAATTAAGAAATAAAAAAAATAAACTTCATCTTTAACATACAAATGCCCTGTAAAGTATGACTGTTTTTATTGTGTGATCGTTGTAATAACACTTTTAAAAGAACCGTCTATACAGATATAAATGTTCTTATGCTGCGTCGTCCTATTTGCTTAGAATTTGATTTCCCCTCATGCTCTCGTTATGTAGGAACTCATTTTGCTTAAAAGGACCAGTTGATAAAATATAGGTTATTTAATCGGTAATTTTTTAAAATATACTGATAAAGCGGTATATTATATTTAAAAATATTTTTTCTTCTTGATAGGTTTATGTTTACGATCCAACTGATGAGGAAGATGAAACAAAAGGTTGCTGCTTACGAATTAGAAAAATTTGGGAAGAGTTCCCTCCACTTGATGGAGAACGTCAAATTGAAGGCGATTTAGACGCTGTATATTACTCTTATAATGACACAACTGTTTACTTTTTTAAAGGAGAAGACGTTTGGAAAAATGAATTATTTCATCCAAGGCAAAAGCAAATTAAAAACGGTGTAAAATATGTGGGAAACTGGTTTGCACATTGGTACGATATTTGTGACGTACGACCAACATTTAGTAATTTTGAAATCCCATCAAATAGTCATGTGTGATTATTTATTTTTTTTCAATGTCAAGGTCATTCCAGAAGAAGACATGTTGTATTTCTATCAACTTTTTACTTTTCAGTGGGGAAGACATGGCTTGCTTGTAATACAAGTTGCTTCTCTGTGATTATGTAATAAGAGGTGACATGTAACACAGTTTGTAAAGGTATACAAAGAAAACACTTGATTGATGAGTGTTAGTATGTGTGTGTGCTCCATCGATTACAGGAGAAACTTTTCAATTAACACAAGAGTAATATTGGACCAACAGTCAATAGTGTCCTGAAGATACTGAAACATTCCCTTCATTGATTTATCCGTATATATGTCTATATTACAAACTGCTTTTGTGATTACTGTGAAGACGTTTCATGCGATTAAACTGTGATAACCTTTATATATATATAATGTGAAATATTTATAAGCATTTTTGTCATTTTCGTAACATTCTATGATTGTTGTATTCTAATATATATATATGTGTAGTCCAATGTTGCCATATCATGCAGTGGAATGATACGTGAGGTTGTTTGACTAGGGAACACATGTTACTCAATAATTTAGGTATCTTTAAGCCCTCGGTTGGTTTCCTTGTACAAGCTTTTTGTTTGGATTGGAACTCGAAATGTATCGAATTTTTCGTGTTTTCATTATTACTTTCCAAATAATGAATGTAAATATTAATAACAATGAATTAAAATTGTATTTTTGTCGGAAATCTTATTAATGGATTGATTGATATCTGTGTAACGCCATGTTTCAAAAATCACATACAAGTTCAGAACGATAGCATTTTAATGCGAAATAAAATAGAAACCTGCTTTTACATTATTTGACTGCGTTTGGGTTAGGGTTTCACTTACAATGTAGAATAGTTTCTATTCTTCTGGTACCAAGATAATTAATGAAAATTCAAATAAAATCAAGATGATGTGCAAACTCTAAACGACTTTAAAATATACAAATCTAGAAAGAAAAAAATAAACCGTGAATTAAAGTGTTTCCTTTTGTAATTATTCTTTTCGCATACTGGAGCAGCTTTTGTACTAAATGATCAAAATAAACTGATTTGACAGTAGACTATGTAATGGATGCCGATAGGCGAAAAACACTCTACTGCTGGTACCTCGATATATATATTTGGCAAAGAATTACACATGTAATTTTATCAATTGTTCTGGTGTAGATAAATGTATGTTATTTTTTATTGACAAGTGAAAACTGCTGTGTAAATAATTTGTTCAGTGTCATTTTAGTTAAAGCACTAAGATTATATCATCCTTTCTTTTACAATGGCGAACAAATGGTTGTTTGCGCTCTCTGAGTCCACATAAAGTTGGTTCAACTAAAGAGGCAACTTTTACCCATGTGAATAAAAGGTAAAATAAATATAATAATTAAAAATTATATGAAAGTTAACATATGTAAAGTTAGATTTATTTCTATTAGGTTGAAATGTTCTGGGTCATTTACAAAGAGGTAACTTGATTTTTAACCTGGCTTGTTATTCAAAATAACTCATCACATGTTTTTGTCAGTTTAACTTTAACACCAATTAAATACACAAAACTATCGAAACAAGAGTGTTAGAAAGATGAATCAAAGTCCCATGGGGAAATGCACTAACAAGGCAAGTGGAAGGACAAACAAAAGGACGCATGCCAGCAGTTTGTAAGTTCTGACTTTTGGCAACACGAATTCTTTTCTAGACTGGAAGTGTTCTAAAATCATGTACTGAATAACGTGAACCTCCACATAAATACAGCTTCTGCGGTTGATGCTTGTGATCGCAGAGTTCCATAAGAACAAAATAAAATGTATGTCTACTCTGGGTTTCACTGACCACTTCGCGAGTTTAAGTGTAATTAAAAATACGATTATCACTCTTTAGGCAAAGTTGAACAAGAGTTAATATTAAGTATATGCAAATTAGAAATTATTTCCCTTTACTGAAAATAGCACTGAGTATATTGTGTTTATTCGGTTGTTGATATTTAATTTGATGATGTACACATTTTAGATCATTGTTTGTAGACTGTAGAAGTAACTTTAGTTCCCGTCCGCTGTAAATATTCACTAATTTACCAAACTGTGCAATATCTCATGGTTACAGCTTCCATTTTTGTAATTATCGTCATCTTCACAACAGTGATTAGATTGCTATTAATGCGTCATAATTTTAAAAGAAATATATTATTATATTCTAACCATTTTATGTGGAACATTTTTATAGTTACCTGAACTCGTAATTTAGATCATATCCCCCCCCCCTAAACTAATTGATAGTCGTTTAACACTGTTGTGACGTTGATGATATGTTATCATTCGTTATGTTTTGAGATTATATTTTTCGTACTTTGTATAATAATTGTGTTTTATTTATATCATTTGTTACGTAAAGATCAAAATATTTGTATTTATTTTAAACAGATAGTCGAATGCGTAAATTTTGTCTCGGTGTTAAGTGACTTTTTTAAATGTCAATGTAATGCATCTGTGAGATGACGACTTTCTCATTGGTTCGACTTACAGTTTTTATTGCAAACATTTTTCTTGTAATCAATAATTTCAATGTTTTAATGCTAAGATTAAAGAAAAAGGGAAGACATCATATAGCCTCTAATGAAAAAGAATAAACAAACAATCCACTCAGAGAAACATTTATTTAAGTAGTAAATTTAATTGAACAGTAGGAAGGGGACATAACTCTTATATGTCAACAGATCATTTACAGTATTAGGATATTAAAGCATTTTATTGATGCAGATCACAGTGCTAAAATAGAAAGATTATGTGTTTATATTCCAGTTGAATTGATTTGTTATATTTTTCTAACTATGATAACTTTCTCTCGTTTAACAGGAAATCTTACAATAAGATACGAACATCAAAACAGAAACTTTTTCGAAATATCACATTTATGCTAATGACATTCAATTGTATCTCTAATGACTGCTCATTTGGGCATGTATTCCTTAGGAGTCTGTCAGTAGTCAACTAAATACATAACACAGCCACCAGAGTTGTAGACAAACTAGTTGATTGATAGACAATGTATACTTAAGAGTCACTACCTGGTTTTGATTTAAAAAAAAGTTGCACTTTAAAAATCTTTGATAGTATAATTGTCCTTTCCTTTATTTTAAGTATGGTGTGCTAGTAGAAAACACTTTGTGTAATAGGGTGTATATTTAGTCTTAATGGGCGTAAAATCATGCTGAAAAGGTCCCTTTTATCCACTTCTGAACACAAAAAACTGGTTCGACACACTAGTATATATTGCTTTCTTTTGGCGTAAATTTTAAACCTCATCTACAAACTTATGAAATTCCGCCATTGCTTAGTTCGTATTTTCTGAAGCAGACGACACTGAGAATTGGGTTTTCACCTAGTAAACCTATCCAGTTTCGCTAAAGTGTATTGCACTGAAAACATCAATTGTTTTCTACATAATCATTTTGATACAGCATTAAAATAATTGCTTTTGAGAAGACACGCTGGTCTTAAGCCAATATTACTTTGTAGACTATTAAAATTTATTATGAACAAAAACTGTTCTTCAGACATTTGTTTGCTTTGTTGATTTTGTAAAGTGTATATTGTCATAGGAATGTAGAAAAAAAATCGAACTTTTTAAGATTTCAAAGTACAAAAGTAAAAGTTTATAACATTAAAAGTGTACCTTGGACAAAACTTTGCCTGCCAAAATATTTTTTTTAACCTTATACTAAAATGTTTGCCTTAATCGTATGTCTTAAGATATTTCAGCAAAGCACAAAACAAATTATGGATTTCAAATTTCAAATCTGCTATTTCCTTACCTATTCATCTCTAGTTTATGCACGTTGAATCTTCATTCACGACACTTGAATCAGAGTTTTAAGATTCGAATTAAATCGTAAAATTCAAGCCAAATCGTGGTTAGCTATAGTTTACTATTTTTATTGTTTAAGACTGGAAGTTTGTTAGTTGAATTTATTTGCATTTTACATCTACTACGTTACGTGTTTCTCTTAATAAATTAAGATTTTATTGGTATAACAACAGGTTTTTATTTTTGTGAATACTTTTGGTAACTTTTGTAAAACATCATTATTTTCGACTGTATGTAAGCTAAAATTTGGCGTTTGACAAACAAGTATTGAAAGCGGTATGCCAGCTGCAATTTTATATTTTATGGTAATCTCTTACTTGTATTCTAGCTTCATCGATAATACTGTGTCAGTACGAGATCTATTGTAAATCATAAATGAAACTAGTTCTGAAAATGTTAATATCGTTTTAAAAAAAAATTATCCGTAATCTGTATTTTGCAAGGAAACCAGACTGTTATTATATTCGCCGTTTCAGAATCTAAAGGATTATGGAAAATTTCATTGTTCGTACCCCCAAAGTGAAATTAGCGTCACGTCATTGGTTGAATTTCCATTGTTAATGACGTAGTTTAGTCTATCACTATGTTTCGATGTACGCTTTGGAAATAATACTCGAAATGCAATAGATTCTGACAGGCGAATTATAACAGGGTTGGAAAATTGTTCAGCTAATATTTCATTTTTAAGGAAAACAAACCTTATGATATGTACAGACAATTACACCAATGGACGTGTACAGACAATACACCAATTGACGTGTCAAGTCTTTTAAGGCAGAATTGTATCAAATGGCATGCCTAAAAAGAAGAGCTTGTATCTAAAGATGCAGCTTTGTTATCTTGTTAATACAATAAAATTTAGTAAAAACTTAATAGTGTGTTATTTTATTTCAGACATCTATACGGAAGGCCAAATGAAAAATGTCCGTCATTTCTACAAGACAATGTATCTTCACGTACAAGAAGATGACACTAAGATGGTTGAGTCATTTGATATATTTCCAACAACTACTTGTATTGATATAAACCGCCTCGCCGGGTCAAAAAAGACTTGAAAAATTGTATTTGCTGATTCTTTGCTTCGCCTGTCGCATTAAAGATTAAGACCAGTGTGGTCGGTTCGGGGTCAAATTACTAGTAATGTGTCCGGGTAGTTTTGCATGTCTCCATCAGTGGACTATTACCTTGTGAAATAGCACGTTAAAATTTTAGCTCGGCTCAGGGGACAAGGCATGATTTACAGTGGCGGATTCAGGGGTTTATATTATACAATCGTTCAATACATATATCATTTCTGGAATTACGCGCCTTTCAAAAATCCTGGATCCGCCCCTGATTGATATTCATGTCACATTAACAAGTTCTCGTCCTGATTATGATTTTGATTTGCAGTTGTGCGCTACGCTACCAGATATCGATCTATTATTTTATTCATACAAAGACACATCTTCGATTAACATTAGTCAATTTGACCATTCATAGCTCTATCATTTGAGTAAACAAAAGTCAATAGTCTACTTATCAGGGTTCTTGTTGCTCAATCTTTGGTTTTCTGTGGTATCTTGTGAACTATGGCCTTTGTGGGGTTTTTTTTTTTGGCCTGTTTTTCTTTCCCTTATGGTTTTTAGCCCCTCTCCCTCCCACTCTTGGTTTTTTTCTCTCCTTTCGATAAACAGCTGCTAATATGATACTCTTTATCTGCAACAACCAATGTGAGTTCTAGGGCACACCTTTTGTTAACACTGATTTTTATGACTTTCAAGCCAGTATTCAATAAAGTTGTGGACTTCATTGTTGTATATATAGAGCTAAATAATGATCACCAACTTACAGAAATGTTAAGAATATATATGATTCCATGGTATAACTTTTCACATCAACACAAGATAGATTTCTGCATATTTTCTATAGCTTATGAAAACAATGTTAAGAGAAGTAATGAGTGGATATAAAATACAAATTAGCCAATATATACACACCATCACAACAAACAACTCCTACTACATTGAATCGGACATCAAGAATGTTGATGGCGTCATTACGTGGTCATGACCATACCTGGTCTAGCTTCATGCCACTAGACGTTACGCAAGCATGAATAAATCAATTAGTCTTTCAAACTATGTTTAAACTTTTAGAATAAGTAACAGGTACAGCAGTTAAATGCATATGAGAAAAATGAATAATGTAATTTTCAGCAACGTCACATCAGTGAAAAAACTAGAGATTGGGATTACAATGCACACATTTCTTTGACGAAGAAACCAAATTTAGAACAAAATTACAAATATAGGAAAAATAAAATCCTACTTTTAAAAGAAAGGCGAAAGATATCATAACTCATAAGTCGAAAATGAACTGACAACGCCATAACAAAACAACAAACCAAAAGACCAAAAGACAAACAACAGCATACAAAACACAACATAGAAAAATAAAGACTGAGCAACACGACCCCACCAAAAACCGGTAATAATAATAAGACATGATTAAGATTTGAACGAAGGTTGGTGTTGTTGCTTAACTCCAACAATAAAAACTATGAAGAAAGTCATTTTTAAAAAAATGAATGATTCAAAATAAATTGACCTGTTTATTTAAATCAGCGAAATCATTGAATAGTTTCACAGTTTGGTCATCATATGATATACATCTTCCTTACAAAAGGTCTTTCTCCTTTTTATTTCAAGTGTCTCCACCTATTTCTTGTACTTGCACAGTACGGATAAATATGGACGGTTTAACACAAAACTGCATAAAAAGCTTGCATGCATAATTATGTCATGTTTTTGTAATTGATTTTGGGATGGTTCTAATCTCTTTGTGTAACCAGGGTCTTGTATTCATCTAAGGATTATTCGATACGTTGATATTTCTTTGTGATATAATCATTTCAATTCTTTTGTAGACCCTTCTCTGTTCTCATTAAAACACGTTGTATAATATTCACTAAAACAAACCAATTTCTTTAGACATCGTTTCTAAACTAGTTAAAGTTTTAGGAAAACAGTTTATTACTGCATTATTGGGACAGATATCAATAAAATGAGATGTGGGTAAACATCAACTGGTCAGCAATATTTATGAGTTGTTATAGTGAACGCCTTTTAAATATTCAATCGCAGACGTCTGTAACTATAGATACGGTGTCCAATGTATAGGATGCTTAAATTTAGAATAAATACACTTTTTCATGGAAATTGTTACTCAGACATGTTATGGCCGATGTGATTTGACAGTTTTATTCATTGCTTTGTAGATGTGTTTTCTTATTTGTCCATACCCGTGAGTTGTTTGACTGTACAATGGGCTTGTTTGTCAATTCGCTTGTCTTGTTTGTCGGTACACTTGTCTTGTTTTTCCGTAAAATTGTTTTGTTTGTCCGTAAAATTGTCTTGTTTGTCCGTAAACTTGTCTTGTTTGTCCGTAAGATTGTCTTGTTTGTCTGTAAACTTGTCTTGTTTGTCCGTAAAATTGTCTTGTTTGACCGTACACTTGTCTTGTTTGTTCGTAAAATTGTCTTGTTTGTCCGTACACTTGTCTTGTTTGTCCGTAAACTTGTCTTGTTTGTCCGTAAGATTGTCTTGTCTGTCTGTAAACTTGTCTTGTTTGTCCGTAAAATTGTCTTGTTTGTCCGTACACTTGTCTTGTTTGTCCGTAAAATTGTCTTGTTTGTCCGTACACTTGGCCTGTTTGTCCGCACACTTGTCTTTTTTGTCTGTACACTTGTCTTGTTTGCTCGTAAATTTCTCTTGGTTGTCCTTACTCTTATCTAATTTGTCCGTACTTTTGTTTTGTTCGTCTTTACACTTGTATTATTGCATTAGGTTTCTCTCGTTTATGTAATATCATTTGGATTTTTTTTCTCTCACAAAGTGCCGATATCTTTTAAATATTATTATACCTCAGGTATCATTTTCTATATGAATATGGTGAAATAAGTACACAATATTTTCACTATTTTTCAAATTGCAAGTGTTGAACTATTGGACCGGTCAATTGGTTCCAACTTTTAGACCTCGATGAAACTTCATGACTGGTACCATTAATACTTTTTCTCAATGTCCTTAAACAATGACGTAATATTACAATTTGATTCATTCAGTCTGAGAGGATTTTAAGTACAAAATAAACATAGGAGGCGTTAGGTATTTCAGTCAATGGGTCAGCAACTCAGAAAGAAATAAGATATACCTACGCCTCAGGGCAATAGTTGCACCTCGGGGACAATAAACTTACTATTCCACTCATACCCAGTCAATAAGTATACACTATTAGTTACAAGTATTTACTATTTATGTAAACATAATTATTTATATCAAATCATTTCATTTAATCCCAAACTTAAAATGTGGTGTCGATGGTAGATTTTGGGTTCTCTGATTTTGCATTACCTTTACATTTGCCTGCATTACCATTACATTTGCCTGCATTACCATTACATTTGCCTGCATTACCATTACATTTGCACGCATTACCATTACATTTGCGCACATTACCATTACATTTGCGCGCATTACCATTACATTTGCGCGTAAAATACTCAGTTTTCTCTGTTCCACTTACATGAATGCCTTTAGCACTTACGGGATTACTCGGGATCTCTGAATATGTTTTTTTAGAATTCTTTATGAATGAAATTATGAATATGAATCAAAAATTAAAAACCTTTGGTATATTTATTTAAAATTATCTTTACATGTGTTACCTGTATAATTAATATGCGCAAATGTACATTTTTGTAATGAAATATTGCCGGCGAAATCGTTAAAACATAATCCCCAAATGCACGCGCGCAAATGTAATGTGCCGCTGAAGACGTTTCCTATAAACAATTGTACTTTGTATCTTTACTCCTGGACGTTTTCTATATCTTATTTCTCTCTGAGTTGCTGACCCATTGACTGAAATACCTAACGCCTCCTATGTTTTTGTTGTTTTTTTTTTGTACTTAAAATCCTCTCAGACTGAATGAATCAAATTTTAATATTACGTCATTGTTTAAGGACATTGAGAAAAAGTATTAATGGTACCAGTCATGAAACTTAAAAAGTGAAATTTTGTTGAGGTTTTTGTGAGATCTGGTGTTTATTTCAGTAATTTTTCATGAGAAACATTAAAAACGACGTCACGATTGTAGAGTCTTTTTGTTATATACTGTTTCTTGGGTTACATAATAAACATTTACGATCCGCCTTAAACTAATTACATGAAAAGAGACAAACTTGTTCTACTTAATGGCTGGTTATTACCAAACTGCTTCTTTTCAATGCAATTTTTAGTGCAAAAAATGTCAACAAATACATTGTCGTAGAAGTAAATGCAGCGAAAATGTTGAGCTCGTGCATTTCATTATAACATTAAATCCTAGCAGTTTAAACATTTAGGAAAAGGCTTTGGTATACATCAAAAGAAATGGCTAGCTTTGATTTTTCTGTTGCTATTGACGGTTAATTATTTTATTTTTTTTATTTTTCGTCCATATATTTGTTCGTGACATATATGTACAGTAAAATCCTAAGAGTTCATTGTAACATTTGTGACATCTCGTATGACGTAAGAAAAAACGAACCATACAATACCTATGTGAGCTTTTCTCTGTAGACACTTATTTTGGAAAGCGGCGTGAAAAGTTGTGAGCACGTAATTAATGTCCTTTTCGCTAATTTTAAAATAATTTTTATCTAAAACAAGGAATGGAAAAGGTTTTGCCTTCAAGTGTGCTAACTTTTCATTAATATCATTTAATCCTTATTGATAAAAGATTATAGGAATTACCAAAAATCCCGCACAGCATAACACACTACACTAACCATCAACACCAGAAACCTCGGAAAAAATAACAGAAAGACATACAACAACGACCAACATAC